TTTGCAAGCGAGGAGTGAGATCCGCTGAATGCTTGGAAACGCGTGTCTCCACTACGTGGCAGTATAACCCAGTTTTTGCTGACCAGCTTAGCCAAGCAAGGCGGAGTGGGAAAGGGGAACTGGGCTCGCGGTGCAGGGAGAGGCCAAGATGGTTCCCTGCCCGCGTGCAATTTTTCTCATGGCCCAAGCCTCCCCGGCTTCACGCGCACCTTTCCGGCTGCCTGACCTCCTCCTCTCCAGGAGCTCAGAGGCCAGCTCAGCAGTTTTCTTCTAGCCAGACTCCCTCGCCTGCCTTGCAAGGCCCCAGCTGGCCACCAGCTGGCATCGGAGAGAGCCTGGACATTCTAGCTCTTGGCCACCACCTGGTGGTCTTCCAGATTTGCAGCTGGCCTACCTGAGGACCTTCTCGATGAAGAAAGGCAACCCACAGATCAGGAAGAGACCATCAGTCCTGTGGAGAAGGAGTGACCACCACGTCCAAGCCAGGCCTCATCTCGCAGCTCCCAATTTTTAGCTCAAGGTGACTGTTTTTTATCAACCGGCAGAGAAGCCATCTGACCCAGAGAAAAATTCACCCTAATCCCAACATGGGAAACTGCCACGTGTGGTTCCCACCACCACCACCGACCTGGCCAACTCTGATTCCAGCTGGGTTTCCAACTGGGAATGAAACTGCATCTACTGTGACAAACCGAGGATTGCTTTTACAACGCAGGGGAATATAAGAATTGTATAAATTCGAATTAAACGAAGACAGAACGCTCTCACGGGGCATCTGCTGCTTATGCCCTCTTTTCCTTTCTCAGCTGGGGCTGAGAGATCCGAACTCGGGGCCCACTCGAGCAGGGGGGACCAAGGGCCACTCTCTCCCTGCTTGGAGAAGGCAAGCTGCCTTGGACACCCGGAGGAAGGACAGGCCGAGGCCTCAGCTGCTCCTATCACCGGATCAGAAAGATTAAAAAGTGGCCTTAGCAGACCACCAGGATCCTTGCTCACTTCTGCCCACTGTCTGCTACGTGTTGACTACTCAAGAAACGAGAATAAGCAAAGTCTGCGTGCGAACTGGTCCTTAGACCCAAGTGTGAAACTTAATTTACTCCGTCTCCTTCACGGGAAGTGTGGGCTTGTGTGCAGTAGAGGTTCTGCTGTTTATTTATTTATTTAGCAGATTTATAGCCTGCCCTTCCTCCAAGGGGCTCCGGGTAGCCTATTTATGGAGGTATTTTTAGTACCACTCTAACCATGTGACGTGGCTCTGAGAAAGAGAGTCACTGACCAAGGCGGGTGGGAAATTGAATCCAAGACCCCCGGGTTCACGTCTAACACTCTCCTCAATACAATGAAATCTCACAGGAAGCAGTAGAGTCTCTCCAACATCTGATGCAAGAAACAAAAGAGCACCTTTTTTTTTTAAATGCGGCCAATTTATCTTGAACCTGGCAAGATTCTTCATACCCACAATCGTTTTTTTAATTTAAGGAACCAACTTTTTCCAGTCCCAGCACTGAAAAATATCCCAGACCCCGGTAGCGCAGCGCAGAGCAGTGTTTTTCAACTTTGGCCACTTTAACATGTGTGGACTTCAACTCCCAGGATTCCCCAGCCAGCATGCTTTCAGCTGTGTGGATGCTGGTGGGGGAATTCTGGGAGCTGAAGTCCACACATCTTAAAGTTGCCAAGGTTGAGAAACACTGGTGTAGAGCATGCCTTGGGTTCAAGCTTTGCTGCCGGTATCTAAGGGGACATCCAGAATCTGCCAAAGGTCATTCTTAGAGAGCCATGATCTGCCTAAATTGTGAACCGGTGGCTTTTGAGGTCCACATGTCCTGATGCCAAAGAGAATTTGTAAACAGGGACTGATAACCACTCATTCCTCTCCTACATACCGAATATCCTTTCTCCTCCCTCATCTGTCTACACCGGGGCAACTGCGGATAGCAGGCAGGGACTTAACCCTGGCAAGTCTTGAGCTCAAATTCATGGTTCTTGCTCCGAAGTTTATTCAGGGAATGCTTTTATTCTGTGATCTAAGGGATTGAACTGAAACCTCCGAAGATCCCTGCCAAGACACAGCAAAGGAGGCAGAGAAACAGAAGGGTCTAATGTCATCATTGCTTAGGTTCAAAATCTACTCTCAGTCCCGCGACTGAAACCTGGAACATATTCAGAAGTGGTGCCTCTGCGCTCTCACCAGTGAATCCATACAGCTACACCCCACGTGGCTTGAATGAGAGAGGAGGGGAACCCTGGAAATCCAGAAAGCCGTTTGCAGGGCGGGGGGGGGGGGGGGAAACAGTGGGTGAGCATCAGGTCCACCAGACGACATCTAGTCCGTGTGCTCAAAGGCCAAGATCTTCCTACCTATGACGTGATGTTCTTCTCACCGGGAAGAGTTAACTTCGCATCGAGTGTCTCTCTGATTTCGTTTGAGGAAGTACTCTTCTCATTTTTCTCTATATTAGAGACTCCCAACTGAAAAGTACTCACATCGCACCTTCTCACTTCAGTAACCCACGAGGCTAATTTATTTCTGATATTCTACCTAACAATGCGTAAACTATCTCACCTTCCAAATGTTATGCCTGACTGGCTGGTCTGGGGAATGGACGGACGAGGCAAACCATCTGGCGTCTCTGCTGTAGTTCTCCCAAGGAGGCTGGAGCACGCCGGACCGCAGCAAGACGTTCCTATCAAACGTTCCTCTTTCGAGGAACATCCCTGCCCATTCACATGCGGCACGTTCAGGACCAAGTTCGGCTAGAAGTCATCTCCAGTTTTCTAGGATCAGGAGCCGCTGGTGAGATTCTGCTCCTGCAGCCTCTGGCCCACTCACTAAGAACGTGGAGCCTCGGATGAGGAGCGGAGGGAGCAAAGACTGCCAAGGCCACGGACCAGCAAGTGGCGGCGGAGCTCCTCCTGTGGAACCCAGATTCCTCGTGGGGCACCCTTCTGCTCACCCCCAAGGCAGCAGGGTGACCCCTCGCTCCCCAAATCTTTGATTACTTTTGGTCCACCACGTCATCCAGGGAGAAAAGCTGGTGAAAAGTCTGCGAGGCGGGTCAGAAGGGGAGACGGGTCTACTAACGCGATGCAAAGAGCCAGGGAGCACAGGGAAGCCAGGCCTCGGGGCTCGCAGACCGGGAGAAACAGAGAAATCCAGCCTGGTTCCCCGAAGTCACGCAAGGCGTGCCAAATCCAAGGCACCTGGGAGGGCCAAGGCCACCTGCCCTGGAGACCAGCAGAAAGTTTTCTGAAGGGCGGTCCACGGGTGGCCTTGCCCTCCCCGGTGATGGAGAGGTCACCAGCCAATAGGCAGGGAGAATTCACAAGACAATGGCTCGGCTGACCCTTGGCTGAGGCCAGGAGGACAAGCGGCTTGCAGCATCGGACCAGCCACTGGGCCAAGGAGGAGGAACAGGCTGCTGGAAATGAGCCAAAGGCAAGAAGTCTGCGCCGGGCAGCCAGGCTTCTTTCGGAGACTGGGCTTGGGAGGCGATGCCCCTCCTGCCCCGGGCAGACCGAAGATGGCCCTGCAGAGTCCCCGGGTGCAACCAGCTGGCCTGAGAGAGGATGCTGGGAGCTTTCGCAGCAGAACTCCAGCCCTCACAGGATGCCACGCTGTAAGACCGCCTGGCCCAGGCAGCGCCGCCCTTGACCCGCCACTTGCCTCTCCACCCTCCGGGCATAAACAGGGCCCGCCAGAGACCCTGGCCCCTTGGCTGCCTTCTCCGTCAGAAGACAAT